CGGTTGCTCTCTATTCGTTGACTGGCTAGCTGATGATGTATGGGGAACTTCTCGACTTGCTGTTGTGGTTAGGAGATTGTCATAAGGTGGAAAATGTCTCGTAGCTGTTGTAACTTCTGGGGTCTGATGAACACTTGCCCGCATAGACGTTCCTTGATCACTTGGATGCCATGGAAACTGCTGGCTCTCTGTGCTCATTGCCTTTGGACGTACACTTGGAATCATGGTGTAGTTTTCCATCACTGCAGTTGGTTTGCTGATACCAGTAGCTTGCAGTGGAGAATGCTGTCTGCTTGGTGTTATAGTTACTGAACTCGTGTAAATTGGCGACATCATAGCATCTGGTATTAATTTTGCTGCCTTTGTGCTTTCTGGATTTTTATCATTTTCATTCTCTCCGACATCTTCATTGATAGTTCTCAATTTATCTTTTATGATGTCTCTTTCCATTTTTCTGGCAGCTGATGTATAACTTCGTGTTTCTTTAGGAGAATATTTTTTCATTGTGAAAGTCTGGGATCTTCCTTTTAAACAATGTTATTAAAAGTTTGGTACCTCCACCAATTTATCAATGCGCGATGTCGGAGTAGTTATAAGAGACAACTCAAATACCGTCCAGTTCCAAAATCAGAATAGTTGCTTTATTGAATTTCACTTAGATTTTTATTACAGATTACTAGTCAAAATAACATTGTTTCATGTTTATTTCTTTGACTTTCCACTGAGAAACTCTGGAAGATAACTTTCACACACACCTAATGCATGCCAGCACATCTTCAATTTTTGACTTCATTCAAGTATGTGTGAATAGAATACTTCCACAGTCCCTCAGCTTTACACCTAAATAACCTTATCATAGAAATATTCCAAGAGTTATATGCTTCATTCTTAAAACATCAAAAATTGTAGACTATAGTTATGATCCACTCCACAAGAAATCCAGTGTGAATTTTGACCGATATAGAAAGATATTGCTAGATCTAGTTATAAATAAAACAATATTTTTTTTAATTGGATAAATATTTACAATGAAGTTCTGGCATATGGCCAGGTTGTACTTTTTAAAGCCTGAGAGGGTTTTGATAAAAAAAAAATCATTCAACACCGGTTTATTCATTATATTAAGATCTGCACTTCTGCCTTGTTCTCTTATTTTACTGCTCAATATTTATTTCTATGTACTAGTACTATTTTTGTCTCTTACATATTAAACTATTTAAAATAAGACCCTTCCAATTGTAATTAAAAAATATATATATATCCCTAATCTATTTAAAATTTACATTTCTCTTTTTAAAAGTCCAAAATTTTGAAATCTATGTGATAAACAAAACTAAGTAAACATTTCAAACTCCTGTCCTTAAAACACTGTCCCTGGGAAATGTTCATTCAGCCTCATGAATATACACAGAACTTTTTGAAAGTTTTTTTGAAACTTTTTGCCTTTTAAATTAAAGCAGTTAACAAGGCTCCAATAAACTCTTTGGCCAACTTGATATGTCTATTCTGAGGGCAGGAGAAGCACCTGCCCCAGCAAGTTATGAATATTACTTTTTGCCAAAACTGACATACAATTAAGATCATCCCCAGCTGAAAATTCTTGAATATAATTTGTAATTAAATACATATCAAAGTGCATTAAAAATGAAAAAAAAAAAAAAAAATCAGTATACAAGTATGTTTCAATTTTTTTTATTTCCTTAGAATCTTCAATGGCCAGGTCATTTACCTGGATATGACAATCAGAAAACGAAATCCATTTTCAAGTTCAAAATTGGGCTGTTTTCCCAGAGTGTCACCCTGCCACTCAGTGGTTGATAGATTCCTTGCCTAAATTATCATCAAAACTTGGCCCATATAAAACTGCTGTCAAAATTTTGTTAACTTAAGCATAATATTCCCCAAACTTGACCTCCAGTTAGATTCAATTCTTTTGAGAGCACTGTATCCTCTCTCCACCTGAGAAGTGGACAAGCTGAACAAGGCAATTTCAATTAGCATTATTGTATGTATTCTAATATTTGTCTGGTCTCCTAGCCTTGAAACAAATCAGTACACATCTTTACTTTTATTCACTATAAACATGCCACCTATGCAGGCCACTCTCAATGGAAGTCTTCTGGGTCAAAGCCCATCCTGTATAATACTTGAAGAAAATAATGTTCCAGAACTTGTCTGCTATGAGAAAGGTTTCTAGGGTAAAAAATATCCAAGACTCTACAAAACACCATCTATTGTTCAGTCACACCTGCATCAACAGCACCATCAAACAAAATCGTATGGAAAATAATTTTCCCTGGTCTTGACCAGAACACCTCTTCCCTTATTGTCAGCTGATATGAAATTCAGGAATCTGTTAAAAATAAATATAATAAAATGATAAAATCATACATGTAGAAACAAGAAATTTATACAAAGCAGATAAAAACTGAACTTTAATGAAAAATCCATAGATTAAAAAAAAAAAAAAAAACTCACCTCATTGTCAGTCTCACACCAGTTGTTTATCAAAGTAATTTCTTACCATACTATATAGTAATAATAATTCCTTGGTCCTACTACTAGTAATAGGCCAGTTATAAAAAATACAGAAGTATTGGCTTTATATATATATATATAAACTTAATTACCTTCTTGTCTAACTGGTATCTTTTCATCATTTCATGCCATCTAGTCCATTCTCATGCTATAGCTTAGGCAGGGATAGGTATGCTGTCAACATTTCACTAAAACTGAAAAAGCACAATGCATAGGTCATAAAGTGTGGCTGTGCCTTGACAAACTATTTTTTAAAAACTTGTTTAATTTGAAGACTTTTGTTTTAATACCAACAATTTCAGATAAATTGAAAAAAATTGTTAAAAAATCACAATATTTGAACTTATAATGTAAAACAACTTTGGAACCTGCCCAAGAAAGACATTTAGTACACCTGTAATGCTGATTGCGCAATGTGCTAGTTAACAGGTGTGTATAGACACACACCCCCTATTTTGGAAAAGGTCTAGATTCCAACTCCATAAGGAAATACAACGGATAAAGGTACAATGTACGCAAGTACACATTTTATGTAAACAGAGTACAACTGTAACTTTGCAACAAAATGTAACATTGACTAGTACTGAAGTTGAACCGAACGTCAACAAGTGCATCTGAACTATGCGAAGGGAGGTTACTCCAAAATCATTTCTATACATTTCGGCGCTTATGTGAAACATAGTGAATTAAAAAAAAAAAAGACTCACCTTTTAGTTGGCAAACCCAAAGCTATGTAACTTGAAAGGCAGATTTTTCCTTTCTAAAACCATATACACTGTATGTTATGGCAACATGGTTGATCTCCAGCACCGATGTCAATTTTTCACGTATTATTTTCCATAACAACTCTCACTATGACAGTGACACATTGTATACTATAAATATAGACTTGAAAAGCTGAACATTAATTTTTTTCAACCGAAATGCAAGATTTACCGAGAAAAACGCTCTCCAGTCACTTGCTCTGTGCAACGTGACAGTCCCAGTTTCGACTGACATACATAGTTCGCACTAAAGATAAGATAAGATAAGATAAGATAAGATAAGATAAGAGTTTATTTAGCCAATTATAAAAATCGGAAATCATTTTCCATTGGAGCAATATACAGAGTAAAATAATAAAATAATACAATAAATAAATTAATTAAGAATTTAGCTTTGAGATCAAATTAAAATGCGTCACTGCACTTGGATAAAAGCTGTTTAAAAAGCGTTTACTGCCTTTAAAAGTTAAAAGTCTACTGTTGCTTGGTAAAAAAGTAAAAAGAGAGGATGCAGGATGGAAAGCGTCTTTCATGGTGTTGACAATTCTTTTCTCCATCCTGTCCTTAAAAATATCATCCAGCTTGGGGAGATCTTGCCCGATAATCCTGCTTGCAGTTTTTACAACGTTTGCTAATTTCTTCCTTTCCTCCCCAGCTGTTCCGCTATACCATATTATAATTCCGTACGCTAGAATGCTTTCAATTACACACCTATAAAAATTGACTAAAATAGGCACACTATCAGTAAAAGTTCTCAATGATCTTAAAAAATACAGTCTTTGCCGTGCCTTCTTTACACTCTTTACGGTGTTATCTTTCCAATTCAATTTACTGTTAAGGTGTATACCAAGTAGTTTAAATTCCTCTACCCTACTAACTTCATCATTGCCAATGGTGAGTGGTACCTTTACATTCTGATTCCTTCTAAAATCCACTATCATTTCTTTGGTTTTAGCTACGTTCAAGATAAGATCATTACTCTCGCACCAGCTTAACAACGACTCAACAGATTCTCTATATGTACTCTCGTCATTATCAGTGACTAGCCCCACCAGCGTAGTATCGTCCGCAAATTTCATGAGAAAAGTCCCATCGCTTACACTAGTGCAATCGTAAGTAAAAAGGGAGTAAAGACAAGGTGAAAGGACGCATCCCTGTGGTGCACCGGTATTTAAGACTGTTATTTTTGAGCTAAATGAGCCGACTTTAACAGATTGTCTTCTATCT